GGGTGCTGAGACTGTGCACCACTGTGCCTGGCCGCTCAGCCCCCTGGGTGCTGAGACTGTGCACCACTGTGCCTCTGGGTGCTGAGACTGTGCACCACTGTTCCTGGCCGCTTGGCCCCCTGGGTGCTGAGACTGTGCACCGCTGTGCCCCCTGGGTGCCGAGACTGTGCACCGCTGTGCCTGGCTGTAGCACCTCCTTGTCCCCTTTTTCCATTTGGAAAGGAGGCGGAGGATGGAACCTGGGCTCCCGCATGGCTAGGCCAGTGTTGTACCACAAACTGCACCCCCAGCGCCTGGTTCTCTCTCTTTCAGTGTATATGTTTGTATGCTGTTGTTTTTTGGGGGGTGCACATATGTTACACCTCACAAGTGTGGATGTCAGAGGACAACGTGCAGGAGTTGGTTCTCTCCTTTCACCGTGTGGGTGCTGGGAGCTACCTCAGGTCACCAGACTTGGTATAGTAAGCACCCTCCCTTATCTGAGCCATCGTGAAGGCTGCCCCAGGCCTGATCCTCTTCAGTTATGTGCTCATGTGGCGTGGTTAGGCTGGGATGAAGCTCTGTAGGAGAGCATTCACCTAGCAGGTGTGAGGTCCAAGGTTCCATGCCCAGCAGTATAAATCAATCAATCAATCTATCAGTCTGTCCAGGCTGAAACCAGAAAACAAAATAATCAGAAAAAAGGTATTTGAATATGAAGTATACTGGGAGGAAGATGGAGCAGAGATGGACAGGGTGTTCTGAGGAGCTCTGTTCTTCAATAAGGAGTCAGCCGATACTGCCCAGGGTCACAGAAGGAGGGAGACCTGGGCCTGTTGATGCATGCCTGGGGTCGAAGTTACCCTGCAGGCCGAGGCAGAAGGATCACAAGTCCAAGGGTAGCTTGGGCAATTTGGTGAGGGCCTGCTCAAAGAGAATGAAGAGTGCCAGGGGTAGCATGTGTGAGGGCCCAGGTTCATCCCTAGTCCTGCCAAAAAATTGTGTGAATGTGAAGGCAAAGTAATTTGAGAAGGAAAAGGTCCTGGGTAGGCGTGGGCCGGGCACAGGGAGGGGAGGGAGTAACTCGGGGCTCTGTTGGTTCTTGGGGATAGCTCTGACTTGTGGCTACTGTGACCTCTGCACCACAGAGTTCTCCAACCCATGAATCCACCACCTCTCCAGAGCTGCCTTCAGAGACCCCGGAGACCCCAGGCCCTGGCCTGTGCAGGTGATGCCCCTCCCAGCCCCCCTGCACTCCTGCCTACTCTCTGAGCTCACCAGCCCCCTTTCTCCTCAGCCCCCTGAGGAAGTCACCCCTGAAGCTTGAGGACTTCAAGTTCCTGGCAGTGCTGGGTCGGGGTCATTTTGGGAAGGTGAGGCAGGGGAAGGGCCTGGGGCTTGGTGCTCTTTCTTCAAGGGCCCAGGCTGTCCACTAAGGCCTTGTGCCCACTGTGTGCCAGGTGCTGCTGTCCGAATTCCGCTCCAGTGGGGAGCTCTTTGCCATCAAAGCCTTGAAGAAAGGTGACATTGTAGCCCGAGACGAGGTGGAGAGGTGAGGCCCTGTCCTGGCCCTTGAGGATTTCTGGGAAACAGACCAAGAGTAGTCACTGTTGAGCATCTCAGTGAGAGAGACTCAGGTGACTAGAACTTACGACCCTCTTCCCCAAGAGCAATGACTTAGGAAGTCGTTACTGTGACTCGTTTGTGCCCCTTCTCTCCTCCCCGAGTGAGCACAGTTACTGTCTTCCATTCTGCCCATGGTCTGACAGCCAGAGGTCACACAGCAGGCAGCAGGAGGTTCAGGACTCAAATGTAGGGATGTGGGACCACCTCCGTTCAGGGGTCAGGGTCCCAGGTTAAAATCATGGCTCTGCCAGCTGTGCTTCTGGATGCTGGGAAAAGCTGGCCTCCCTTCAGAAATTAGCCTCCTCATCTATCCATCAAATACCCATGGAAATGCCTTCCTTGTAGGATTGGTGGATCGAGGAAGAAGGTTTATTTAAAGTATTCTTCACAGTCCTCCATCCCTTTAGAGGCGTCAGGCTGTCCCTAGACTTCCCAGTCACCTTTGTAATAACCAGGAGCCTGATTCAAAGCTGAAATGAGTAAGAGGAGTTTATTTACTGATCTGGAGAGAAGCCGTGGTGCCTGCCTCATGGCGTTGCTGTGCTCTGGTGCTTGAGGACGTTTCTGGTTGTGTGCTCCTCTGTGGGCTGAGCTTGCAGTTCTCCCACAGAGACAGAAGCCTTTCCACACCAAAGATCAGATCCGGTTCAGTCCTAACCCAGTCCCCACCATGGACTTGGACCGCTCTGATCAGCCTGAGCCTGGGCCCTCGCCTGCTTCCCAAGACAATGCGTAGATGCTGGATGTGTAGCAACCCAGGCTGCCCAGACTGAGAGCGAGCAATGCAGTTGCCCAAAGCTGCGCAGCAATGCAGGCCTTCCAGAGACTTGCTGAGCGAGCCCCAGAGGGCATGGGCATGGGTCAGGGAGCAGCTGGGCCCTCTGACTTCTGCCTCCTGCCCAGCTTGATGTGTGAGAAGCGGATTTTGGCGGCCGTGACCAGGGCAGGACATCCCTTCCTGGTGAACCTTTTCGGCTGTTTCCAGACCCCCGAGCACGTGTGCTTTGTGATGGAGTACTCAGCGGGCGGAGACCTGATGCTGCACATCCACAGTGATGTGTTCTCAGAGCCTCGGGCTGTGTGAGTCCTTCTCCAGCACCCGCCTCTCTCCTACCCGTCCCTGGAGGCCTCGCCCTCCACTCTGCCCCGCCCC